GAGAGACACAGGATTGGCTGCGGCCAGGTGGTCCAATATGTCTGCGCCCTAATCCGACGCCACACCACACCACACCACACACTGAAATTGTTTGATTTGGATAATCTTCCGGAATTAATGAGTATTGTCATGATGTCAGTTTCTCTTGTATAACGGGGCCAGAATTTCAAAAATTATTCTCTGCTTTTGTATTTAAAACGTTCGTTGGTGCTTTTGGCCAGTTCTAGTTTCATATGGACCAGAATTATTTTTGGTAACGAGTGCTGGTCACACTTGAGCACCGTCTTTTAGCATGAGAAGTCTCTGCTTTGTGTTGAATAGCAATTTGACATGTACTTATAAAATCAAATCTGAATAAGAATTTTGAGTTTCCTTTTCACTCTGTTTTAAGCTGACAAGCATAAAAAAATGCTGGAACATCTACGCTGAGGACTTCTGTTTATGACGACCAAGATTGCTAAGGTTGCTAACATTGCCCTCCACGTGTTTCGCGCACACTCCCTCCGTGCTTCAGCCACTGGCGCATCCTATGGTGGTCCACCGTCCTCCTGTGAAGAAGTTGAAATCACATCAGAGGCACTTAAGCAGCTTCTCTCTAGTGTGGCTGCACTCAATCTTTGCGATGTAGGATTGGATTCGCCGTTCACTCTTTCTCTTCCTCACCGCGTCACGGCTCCGGTCATATACATGCACATTACAGAGAACGAAGTATTTTCCATGGGAATGTTTATTCTTCGTCCCGGCTCCCGCATTCCGTTGCACGGTCATCCGGGTATGTTTGGTGTGATTCGAGTAATGCAGGGTTCTATGAGGTGTCGATCGTTTACTCCACTGCGTGACAAGCTTCCGGCCCACCGCAGCACCAGCAAATGGCTGTCCTCTTCGGCGTCCAATCTGACCGTGGCTGAACCCCATTCGGATAAATTGCTTGGTGCAGATGACCACAGACCTTGTCTCCTGACACCGCGAGTCGGCAATTTGCATGAACTCACTGCGGTTGAGGGAACCGTTGTCTTTCTTGATATTCTCGCTCCGCCTTACGATCATGACTTGGGCACACGGGAGTGTCTCTTTTATCGGGAAGTTGACCTGCCTTCCAGCGACCATGACGAAAAATCTGCGTTGTCTCATGTACAGTTGCAAAATCATCCGCGAGTCTATTTAACTGAAATTAATCAGCCCAGGGACTATTGGTGCGAAACTCTACCTTATCATGGTCCACAAATTACCTAACTCACCTAGTCTGCATGCAAAATTCTCCTTTCCATTTCTAATGTTCGTTCCTACAAATGTGGAGTTTGGCTTCCCCTAACTAATATTTGTTCTTTTTCAATACAAGAGTCGGTAATATTTTATTGTTTTTTTTCTTTGGGTACAATAATGTGGACTCATCGGACCATGCTTTAACTAATCGGTTCTGTTAGGTTGCGAATATTGTTTTAAAAGTATTTCAGAATTACTATAGGGGACATTTTTAGGAAAACATGTGCACTAGTACACTCAACACTTAAAATACGGAATAACCTCTAGTAGTTCAAAGAACTCTTCATTACGGGATGCTGGCATAGGTTTTTATGGCAAAAGCAAACTTCAATATTGACTCGAATTCAGATGGAGTATGGCCCTTCTTAGGTTGTTATCATGGGTCCTTGAGGTCATTCATGAATATGTTAATTTTGATAGTAGAAAGTAGTCTTCATGAGTAAATTGTAATGCTTGGGGATGTGTACCAAGGCCAAGGTAGTCTTGGTTTTCAACAGTAATTGATTAATGCATTTATTAATCAACGGTACCTAATACCAGCTGTTATGTCATTTAATGTGTGACCGCACATGTGGTGTTATGCGATTACCTGACTGATTTGATTCCACAGAAGATTAAATTAAGAAGAAGCACAGTGATCTCAACCACCACAATAAGACTATGAGACAATTCAGATTCCATCTTCGGTTTATTTTGCTTTTTTAATCCAAGAAAAACCACCATCGCTTGGTAGCTTCGACTTCCTAATCTCTCCATATCATTTCTCAAATGAGCTGATAGCGTACTAATTTGAAATAAAAGGCACTACGGATTACTACATGTTGAATTTTGTTCTCAATGCATGAAGATGGAAACCTCTATTCTTCGATGTACCTCCGTTACGTGTCTTAAATGTTGTTCGCACTTTCGACCATAATGCTTTTAGGAGTTACAGTTGCACCTCGAATGGCTTACTTGAGATTAGTTTCGACTGCACACAAGTTTAGCAGGTCCTCCATGTGTCAACTTCATTGTTGTTGCCGCTTTTTGTCGTGCTGCCCTGGCGGAACTCGCAATCCAACAGGAGTCTACCAGGCCTCTTGTCTACCGATTGCCGTTTCGTTTTTTTCCAGTTATAAGGTTAATCCCCAGTGTTCAACCACCAAACCAGCAATACCGATTTTAGTTTTTCCTGTGGATGCGTCCACAGCTACACTTGCCCGTGAAGGTGGCCAAACGAAGAGCTACAACAGCTTCACTTTCATGTGGAATCTCGATTTAAGAGTGTCAGTTAGATCATCACCACGTCGGTTTTCGGAAGTCAAAGAAAGTAGGCTCATTTCTGGTTACTTACCGTAGACAGTAGTTATAGTGTGTACACAAATATTTCAGTTTACCATCAGCAACCCCTGGGGTGCGAGATAATTATTTAATTAGGTCACTTTAAGCTCAGCTTCAATTAAATTTGTGAAGCTAACCACTGCCAACTGAGCATGGCTGCGAATGTGACTGCTCTAAACGAGGTTAAGGACTCCATCTTCTGTGATATTGGTATCAACTGGGTTTGCTTTCCTAGTCGTATGCTGACTTAACCAGAGGATAACTTCTCTCCATTATACGTGTATTGATAAATGCGCATTATCTCCTTCATGCATCTGCTGCACGTATTTTAGGACAGAAGGTCAGTCAGTGTCAGAAGCACCACACATCAGACCTGTTTGAATTCATTTAAAGCTGAGAACATAATTTTGGAAGAATAAAATTCTCTACCCAGATCGAAAGTGATCATGCACTTAACAGTCTTTTTACTCCCTATATGATGCATTCATTTGAGCTATTTAATGCTTCCGCGGTCGAAGATTGGTCAAGACTTACCGCTGTGAGTTACATCCAAATGGAGTATTGTAGAAATTTCGCAGTCTCCTGCAAGCAGCATTCTTTTCAACTACGGTCTTAGTTCAAGCGAGACCGCAAAACTTGACCCTGGAATCACCTTGCTATTGCGCCGCACCTAGGACGCGCCTAGCGCTAAATCACGAGTTAACTTCGCTAAAGCATGATAATCGATGGGATTTTGCGTAGCTTAGTTGTTGGTTTCACGAGTGTGAATTTGGCCAGAGGAACGTGAAACTGTTCATTAATTTCCACCGTTTGGGTGGGAATCATGTGTCGTGAGATCTCATATCCATTTCAAAGTGCCCCAAGTACGGTTCCGGATCGAGCGCTCAATACCCCAGACTTATTTCTCTAGATGGAATCAGCCCTGAATCATGGCGACTGTTTAAGAGATGGCATAAGCAAGCATACATCTTTCTTTACTTGAATTTATGGCAATTTAGCTAGACCTGCATAGTCTAAATTACTTGATTTCCCTTTCAATCACGTTTGGTTAAAACTAAATGAAACCGTGGTGGCTTAAAATCGCTAACACTTCATCTTGTCGCACACGCGCACACGTAGTGTCACTGGTAAGTCTATTTACACATGATAAAACACCAATACGTAATTAAAGCTGGGTGTAATCAAAACGAAGGAACGCAATGAATGATCAACTACTCTCTAGGCTTATTTTCGCATCTCAGGCTGACTGACCAAACTGACTTCGCGTATGAGCGTGAGCGAACACGCAATCAGGTGAATTCTAAAAATCGCTTCAATTTCGAAATTGCTATAGTGACTAAAGAGCAGGTTATTCCGAGCGCCTCTCGTCAACTATGGCGGTGATATTGAGTACCCCTGATCTAACTCGACTGGTGCTTAAATTCTTTGGACTTAACTACTGCTTATTAGCAAGTTAGTAAATATCTAACTTGACTAATTGAGAGCGATATTCCAGGCAGACTCTTGTCTTGATCCAGTTACAAAAAAGCCAACATAGAATTCGAATGTCCGTGAATAATGTGCCGCAAAAGCGATAACGGCTGACCACGAATGGAGCAACAGTCCCCGGGTAAAATACTGGTTTTACATCAAACCACCGTGCTTTGATTCTTCTGGACAACGCTTGGCCGGGCGGTATTGGATAGCACATTCAGAATATCAATTTTTCAGAGCATCTGCGATTAAGGAAGAGATCTCGTCCTGGCAACTACGACGACGAACTAGGGGGTTAAAAAGTGTGTGGCGAGGTGCTACGCCCAACGTGCATTCCGTAGTGCACAAACATCGGTCTATTTACTCTTTCTGACCTGGTTTTGGCTAACACCAGAGGTGTCCTGTGACCTCAGTAACTAATGGCTTCCCGGCTCACTTTGAAGGAGGCTTTGGGCCTCAGAATGTTTTCTCGAATCACGCCGGGCCACTGGGTCGGATCTGGCCCGATTACGTTACCCTGCTACCTGTGACGACAAAGAAGATCGTAGAGGACGTGGACACAACCATCAAAGCCATCAATGATTCAAGCCTACGTGAAAAAGCATCTTGAAGCAGCTTGTGGATGGGTGTTGCTCCAGTCACTTTTTTCTGCATGCAGAGAAAACCCCAAACCAATCTTGGAGAGAAGTCGAAAAAATTATACTTTAACCCATTCGTTAAACCGAACAAAGCGATTTAAGGAACCAGAATAAAGAGTCAGTTATTGATTACTCATTTATTTACCGATCGGCACATACTTGAAAAAGATTTTGCAACATCGGCAAAACATCGGGCAATGTAATACAACGTGCGCTTATGAGGTCAATCTGTCCTTTTGGCAAATGCAACATGAAGCATATATACAAATTTGTCTTAGTCTTATTTTACACACATGTCGTGGGTGCTAAAGGATTGATGTTTCGCCTCTTAAGAATGCCTGTAAGGCTTCCACTGGATTTGAGGAGATACTAGCGGCTGTGGCCACGTTACCACCCTCGTTACCACTATCCAGCCCCCCGATTGTCCTCTCGTCTTGGTCATTCCCATTACCTGAACTAGCCGGCGAAAGACCAGGAATATTTACGATGGGCGGACTAGTCGCGCCTAACTTGCCCTCCGAATCGTCATTATATTCGCGTTTAACTGGCAGAGGTGTGGGATTAGTTGGGAGTGATGATGGCGGTAGCGGTAATGTAGCCGACTCTTCTTTGGGTTTCACAGATCCAGTTATCATTGAGGATAATCCACATGGCAGACTAGCGACCCGCGGAGGTGGCGAAGAACGCTGGGGCGAGTCGCGAGAACAGGAAAAATTCAAGTCGTCTAGACCATTTTTTGTTTCTATTATTTGGGGCTCGGATTTTAGTGGTACAGAGAGCTGCGACGACGACGGCACAGGACTCACAGAGCTGTTCTGTTCCGCCTTGATCTTCGGGGATGTGCACTCGTTCTCCCCCCCGGAAACAGAAGATGGCACTTGTGGAAGTGAATTGGCCTTCTCCGCTGTGACCATTCCCACCTGTCATTCAGAACATAATGCGAATCAAATTATTGCTACAGCCTACGGGATGCTAAAATCACTCGCATAAAAATTTCAACCGAAGAGATTAGTCAGGAAATCGAAAGCATCAGAAATAGACCATGATGATCTGGAAACTCACTGGAAACTGTTTACCCACATCTTCTAGACATATCGGATGGTAAGCCTTGCCGTTTTCGATAACAGCACCTCGAAGCATCCACTCACCCTCATCGCGATCAAACACCTTGTCAAATTTTTCAAAACACACAGCACATACCTAGTTTTAAAAAAAATAGAATTACATTGATCCTTGCGGAAACAAATTAATGAGAAAGATAACAACTTCAAGCTTTTTGGTAATGAATACGATGTTGGCTAAGCCGAAATAAGATAGACATAAATATCACAACTTCAAAAGACTTCGCTCGGCATGGTTTAAGTAAAGGGACATGGAAACCGAACGAGATGAACTTAAAAAGCTGGTTAATAGCATTATAGTCAGGCCAACATAAAAGCAATAAGAGGAAATGCAAGACGTACGTTAAGACTCTCATCTGAAAAGGAAGGGCACTTGACCTCCTCTTTCTCGACCGTGTTAACGGGAACGGAAAATTGGGGCACACCTTCATTGGTAGTTTCGCTCAACAGCCAGTAATGAGAGGCCTGATAATATGTCCTATTTCTGTGCTCTCGGTGTTCAGCGGAATTTTTAACGTAATGGTAATCCAGGTGAGCGTCGAAGTCCGATGACTTCTCACTCTCAAAACGCACTCCGCACTGGGCACACTGAAAGCCGCTATAGAGGGCATCAATCTCTTGGCTAAATGGTTGGCGAAATTTCTCCCAATTATACTCCGCCAAACTAGGAAGCGACTCAGGTTTGTTAACGATGCCAGCAGCAATCAGCTTTTGCAGCAAATCTTGGACATTAACCGGCGGAGCGGAGGGGGCAGGAACCTCCCTCGAAGCATCGGGTTTCTTAGAAGACTTGTCATCGAGGTGACCGTGTTTTTGGGAGGATTGTAATTGGCGACCATGAAAGTGGGTGGGTCCTTGTTGCTCAGACTTCACAGAATCTTGTCGATTTTCGGATTGGCGTTCCAACTCCACCAAGGGATTAAGGGGAGCAAGATGCAAACTACCCGGCGAACCAAACAGACCTCTATAAGCCCAATCAAGAATTTTTGGAGGTATAGCAGGAAGAACGTTGACATCTTGAGGGAATTCACAAGCATACATTACGGAAACAGTCTGACGATCAATATTTATAGTTGCATAGTGCGAATTGAAGGGGATTGTGTGGGGTCGCCCATCAATGACAATTTCATGACCTGGGCCTCCAAGGTACGCTATCCGTTCCCGCCCAGCCGCTCTAATCCTAGTATAACCCGTACCAGGAATCACGTAACGCTGATGATCAATAAGAAAAACGAGACTGTCACACCGGAACCGCACAGCGTGCAACTGGTCCTCAACCTTGATTAATGGTTGAACGCGATCAAGGAGCAAAGGATACTGTCGACCATCAACCGTTATTTGTCGAGCCATCTTTGGATTCTGAACACGCGACAGCATTCGAGGGTCAATACCAATATTTATCATCTCAGGAAGACCATCGATTTCAACGCTCCACATGGGACCTCTTATAGGGGGAACGTTTCGGGGACGGCTATACACTGATGGTGGGGGAGGTGGCAAGGTTCTCTCAGGGCTTGGACGATGGGGACCCAGCGGACGACCAGCGCGGTGATAATGAGGTAATGGGAGTCCTTGCGTCGGTTGGGGCAGGGATTGGTGTTGTTGCACAGGCGGACGTGAGTGATTTGGTGAAGCCCCATGGGAAAGACACTCACTAGACGCAACACGGGGTAGACGGGCGGATACCAAATTGGTGGACGGAATCATAGGAGTTGTGCTTGCAGAAATTACTGAACCACCTCCCAAAACAGCAGTGGACGCCGGTGGTGCACCACCTATCCGCATATCAACGTCCTGTTGCTTAACAAAACTTTGCTTAACATCGGGAGAACGGGGCTTAGAAGATTGAACTGAACGCATGTCCTGATCTCTGACACTGAACAAGGTTCGGGACTTCTTAGGTATTTTAGCCATCTCCTCCTTACCATGTTTCCTAGCAATTGACTCCATTTTACGATTGCCATCGCGATCAATAAGAAACTGGCTTTCACTATTGTCAGGTGAGGATTTCCTTTTTCGATTACGGCGTGGATCACGACCCTCCGCTATTACAGCCTCAGTGACAGGAGTTGTCAACTGACTTGTGGCGATAGGAATAGGCTTTTCAACCAATTTTGACTGTGGAATTTTGGGCACCGATGGAATGCGATTTGGTGGATGTGCCTCATCAATTGGAATAATAGGCCACGCCGGATCATGTTCTCGGACTTGCATGTCAAGGCTTCGCATCATTGAGGAAGGAAAAATCTCTTTCCATGTAGTTCGAAGGTTAAATAACCGTTTTCTAGTGGCTTCATCACGAATCTAAAGGAACAAACTGACTAAGGAAAAGAGGCTTTACCATTTGAAAAGAATGCACAAATAGGGGAACAATGTTGTTGGTGAACAATTGACGGTAGGGAACATCAACGTTTTTTACGATCGAATCAATTACGTATAATCCTAACAGTTTGTAGCTTGCAGGGATCTAAAAAGAAAGTAAAGATCTAGAAACACGTGAAAACAATAGTTGCAAAAATAACGTTGTCCTAACATTGAATTGATACATCGAATATGCACAAACATATATTCTAATAATGATTTGCTAAAATGATAAGATTACTAAGCATGGTCTCATAAATGGAAAGGGCTCGTAATTGCAATACTAAAATGCGGCAGCAAGGTCAAATAGAGGAAAAAGACTAGATTACCTCGTACACATGACATGAAGTGGCTTCGACAATACCCTGGGGAACACCTGTAAGATGAGCGTTGTCCCTTGCCAAAAAGGTGAGCTTATTAATTTTGTTCTTGTCATTTTCCCTAAGTCCACTTAAGGCTTGACGAAATTGCTTCAAGACCTCCTGCGCCTCCGCCAACATAAAGACGACAGATTCAAAAATGGGACCAATTCAGGTAAGTAAAATTAAACAACAATTTAAAACTGATGCAATAAAAAACTTATTGACTACTGTGATACATCGCCAAGTTTTAGCTATAAAACTGCACTAAAAAGTGCAATCTTCAAATAGGAATAACGCATCGGTAGCGAATTTCACACCTTGATTTAATCAACCTCGTTTTGGACACACTCGGTTATAATTTCTTCTAGTTGCCGAATCAATGCAGGCAACGTGTACTTCAGTGATTTTGCATTGTGTCTGCAAATTAAACACATCTTATGTGTTAGTAGTTAAAGTCACGAGGCGTAGACTTTCACGCCATAAATAACATAACGAGACATGAACCTTGAGAATGATTGTGTTTATAAGCTTTGCTTTTTGATAGATTTTAACGTGACCTAATTTCTGGTATCATTATTGTTGAGATATCTTCATTAGAGTTTCTTGCAAATGATTACGTGTGAATTATAACAGCAAACTGGTTTTTACGGCCCATTTTAACAGGTATGTTTGATTGTTTTGTAAACCAGGAGACTTGTTATAAATTAGGCACCTTAGTTAACTCCTGAATAGTTCATGAATTAAATAATGCATCAACATAAACTTTCAACTGGTGTTTATCCATTTTTTGCTTAGTATTTGAAGACGCTTGCTTCGAATTTAAATAACTAGACGTTTTTGAATATATAAACCTTTTTTATGCATCTTTAAAGCAGTTACTGCGTAGCAAATAAATGACCAGATATTTGTAGAGCTATATCAATTGACAGAAATCGCTAGTAAAAAAGTTCCATATGAATTTGCTTTATAGTATGAGGTCATAAAGGTGCGATTTTGTAAAATATTCAATTTTAAAAAAAAAAATCAAAATTTAACAATTTTTAGTTCCAGTTTTGTTAAATATTCTAAGCTTTGTTTATTATGTTCCTTTTTCCTTCTTGTAGAGGTTAATCCCGCCTTAAATAAGATGCATCAGTGATTTCGAAGTGGGATGTTCCAACAAACTTACGACCCATTTAGTTTAAGGCATGCAAAAATTTAGGAACAAAAGCAAGGCAGGTGAATGCAAGTAATAATGATTACTTCTGATAGAAAGGTAGAGTACGTAAGCATAGCTGCCGCTTGACAACTGAATTCAATTTCCATTGACACCAGATAAATTGGTTCTTAAGCTTCAGTCACACGAATTTGAACACACGTCACTGCAGAAGTTACATGAACCGACATTCCTGTCCTGAGAATGTAAAAATAGGGTTTTCTGTCTTTCTAAGCTGCAGAGTAAATAAAATGATGCGCCAAATACTACAATTTGAATAAAAATTTCTGTAATTTGGCACCATGTAAGTTGCTTTTGTTAGTTTATATCTAAAATTGGCTCCTTACACCGGAAGGGGCATTAAAGCGTTTTACTAAATATTCAAATGCACGGAATGGCATGCTTTAATACCATGACTGTTATGTCTAACCAGAGATGACGGCTGACGACATAAAAAAAAGTTGAGTGGGTCATCTGGAAACCGCATCAAAATCGAAAAGGCTGAATTCGTTAGATGATTTAGGCACTTTTGTTGATGTCTTTAACATGAAACTGAGCCTAATAATGCAGTTGTCATGTTATTTCTATATAGCTCTTTGTTTTACAATACTTGTTTTGTAGGAACGCTATTCGAAGTCTTATCTTTATAAAAGCAAAATAAATCAATATAAAGGGTCATCTTTGTTGTCCTCAAAATTCACCCTAGTAAATCCGTTAGTATAAACAACCGTGTTATTTGTGCCTACCGTAGAAAACGAGAACGATTTAGCAAAAATTTATCCCAAACACGTCTATTAAATTGAGGCATTTTTAGTAGTTCGATTGTTTCAGACACGGAAAGTTAAGGTGTTTTTGGATGCAAACGAAGAAGAAAGTCTTTTCCATTTTAATAAGATTGCATTCTGATGACTCGGCAAACCCGATTACCTTTAAAAACCATTGATCGCCACAAACGTTTTGTTGACTATACCTTAATTCCCATACATCTTGCACCTAAATAATTATTGTTCACTCAGTAAAATTAAGATTTCATGGCAAAACATCTTTATTTTAAGGATATTTTGATGTGGACACCACTTGTGTTTTTTTAAGAAGAGGCGAGGAACCTTACCTATCATTTCGGGACGATACTACACAAGTATTTTTTGAAAAAATTGAAGTCAATTTAAACATGTTGCCATCACAATATAAACAACGCATTTTACGTTTGCATCTGGTTAGTCATGAAATACTTGTAACTCTCTTCTATGATAGCTGCTTCTAAATGTTGATAAAATCGTGCAGAATATTCCGTCCTAGTGTTCACCTGCTTTCTACTTTCATTTTTGTTAAATTTCGCAACATAGAAAAGTAGGAAGGTGCATTTATGCAATGAATGAAGCTACCGGAATCTGTAATTTTTTTCCTTGGAATTATGTTCAAATGAATTTTATTGAGACCTGAAGACCATGAATCCGTCCATTTGATTTAGGGTAAAGAAAGTGCATTGTGGACATCAGCTTAAGTTAGCTCTCTGGTAAGATGTATTTTTATAATGTCTAAGCATGGATGAGAAAACTGGACACAAAAATTTATGAATATCTTTTCATGAACGCCTAGTTAGGCACAACTTATTTAAGATAGGCTCTTGCATGTTTGCAAGTGCATTATTAATATTAAATCCTCCTGTAAATGCTCTTTAAAATGTCTCTGTTAAATAAATATGGTTAGCTAGGTACATCATACGTTTCCTGCAAATTACAAATATTGCCCTGATTTGGTTCTAGGTCACGTTTATCATCTTAAGTCCACTGTTAATTCTGACCTAGTTTTTACCAATCAGAGGTGAGCGTCGTCGTTCGTGCCACGCACAACTTTGTGGTGCCGCTAATTTGTTAAATATGAATTTGGGTCCAGCTGTTGAAGTTGAGCCATCGAAACAGTAACGCCAGTTTACTGACACAAGCATATATTTATAGGATCAAGTTATTCTGGGTGTTATTTTGTTTAATTAAATTTGCAAAATCGTTATGCTTTTTTGCTATCTATGATATCCTTAAGGGGTTTCACACGTTGACATATCTTCTGATCTACAAGATAATGTAAGTGAACTTTTCTCTAATAGTTTTGAAGATGTGCCACTATTGTCGTAGCTTTCCAAAAGCCCTTGCGTGATCACGCTCCTCTGACGAAGAGACTGGTAATATATCCACTTAATAAAGACTTTACTGTGTCAGGGTTTAAGAATTCTTCGTCATGCAGGAATTCGTGTTATTTTGGACCTTGTTTGGATAACCGGATTAATCATCTGTGGACCGTTCCGGTATGCACGATGTTGTATTCTATGTTCACATAGGTTCGTTTTGTTATACGAACACGGGGACGTGGCGATGATTGCACTTTTGAGTACATTGTTTGTGAAGTCTTTGTCATCAGCAAAGGTATTTCCAAACCTATTTACCATTCAACGCTTAGTCTAGAGGAGCAGCAATTTTTATTCTGGCTGTCATTTGCATCGTCTTTTTTGACCATGATGTGATCGATAAGGCAACGGAACATCGTATCCTTTTTTCATATAGCCTCACTGCTTGCATGCAATGTTTTTTGAAAACCTCGCTGTTTCCCTTAATACATTTTTTTTAGCTGAGGGGGTTCACAAAAGCTTGCTCATTCATAGGATTTACGAACTTTTCATACACCTGGGACTCTCCGACCATAAGGTAAATTTTCCATACTTTTAAGCACGCATATTATACTAATTTCTCACAAATTGTGTAATAGGTTTATCGCACGCGTTTTCACTCAGTCTTTAGCGTCTTTTCAAGGTGTTCATGACGGAGGCCTATTAGCCGTTTCCCTATTGGGCGTACAAATTAAGTCCGGGTTTACAACTACTGTTAATATTCCTACTTTACTTGGGATCTCAGAGACATCTGTCAAACGCAAAGTTTCTTTACCTGGGCTGTGCCAAACTTTTGTATGCATGCCTTAGTTTTTGTGTTTGAATCACTTTCTATCCTTCAGACCGGCGCTTTTCTCCTCCTCTTGTGTGCCTGCGCCGAAGCAGGATTTAACTCAGCCGCCCGAAGCCTAGCAGCATCACTTGGTGGCGCCAAACGCCTCTACGCGCTCTCTAATTGTGCTTCCGTTTTTATTACTCTCGTATTCATCGTCATGGGTGCCCTTTTTGGAACCATTTTCATTCACCAAGAGCCCCCTCAGGTACAAACGTACATATGGTAAACTTTCTTCTTAATGATAACGTGTCCTCGATCAACTTTGATTCATGTGTCATCGGAGTTCTCTCCACGCCCCCTCAACATAGAATTACTTCGTCAAAACGTTTTTCTAGTCGACGGCTGGCCGAAATCCTAAAGCTGACCTCGGTCGGGTTAAACTCATTTGTCTTACTCAGCTTGCTACTGTTTATTTAAACTGTCACTAAAGTTGTCATCTTAGGCCTTCGGGCAAAATAACCCAAAGTGCATGCTCTCTTTGTTTACTTATCGGCAGCTTTTAACTGAAACCCAAATGAAGTCATGTTTCTTTTACACATTCTTTAGTTAGACATACCAGTTGGTGATTTCAGTTACCTCTATGGCATAACGGCAACGGCATCAGTGGCACTTGTATTTATCGTTGACTTCTACTTCTGTGAGTTTATGGTGAAGAAGGTGGGTATTCATTCTGTCCAGAGGATATCCTACCCATGTCTAACCGCGGCTGGATTTCTTATCAGGCAAGTGTCATTTGTTTGTCCTGTTATCTGTGAGGCCTCTAGATAAAACGCGTCAAATTGGTTTGTTGCTAGTGTTTGTATCAGCGGTTCGGCGAATCTCGATGTGAGTGGCCACGTAGATGTCATCGTGCCCGACTCCGCGACACGCCCCCCTCATTTCCTGTCCTCGGGTGTCATTGTTAGCATGCTGATGTTTTTATATGGTACGTTTTGAGCTATTTTATACTTTGACCGCCTCAATAGTGATCAAATGTATCCTAATTATCTAACCCACACACCACTAATCGCTGTCTGCTAGATGTCTTGGTTCCTGGCAAATGTTTAAGCCTCGCTCAATGAGTGCTTGACTAAGTGCTGCTCCAAGTTGTGCGCGTCATCTCAGTAAGAGGGTGATTTCAGGGTGTTACACTCGTCTTCCTAAAACTTAGTTTACTTTATGGGGGAACTACCGGAGAGCCTTTTGCCACCCGGAAATAGTCAGTGGCGTTGGACTAGTCCATGGGGACGTGAACACCAGATCAAAGATTCCCCCCATTCTGGCACCAATTTCAACGTAAAGGGTCCATCAATCCACTTCGTATTGTCTGGTTTTACGTGGGCAAGCGAAAAAAGTACATGTTAAAGTCCAAATTTAAGGAAGTGAACCCAGGAGGACAAGTTTCATTGACAAAGCTGACGCGCATAAGAGATTTTCGTTTTACGTATCAAAATTCTTGGGCCAGTTGGGTTATCTCAGCCCACTACGTTCGCGTCAAGCCGGAGACCGAGCGAGCATGAGCCAGGAACCAGATCCGGTTTATTTTTACCGGTCCGGCTAGCCTCTTTGCTAATTGGTTATCATCAGAGACCACCTTAACTGCAAAGTGTCTTTCCAAACACAGACTACCTTAAGTTCCGATATGTAATCAAACTACCAGTCTGATATCATGCTTCGGTGTGTTTTGCGAGAGGATGAAAGATCACTAGTTGCCTCTACACAGTTGCTAGAATCTTTTCACTTCAACTATTCTAAATTTGAGCTAAAATTTATTGTGTTGTCAATAGTCTCGGCACAAACAAGAAACCAGAACATTTTTTTGAAAACTTATTAAGATGCAACTACCAAAACAGTGATGGCTTCTCTCGACACCACTTGACTACATGCTAGAATCTGACTTATTATGTCACTCTTTGAATCTAGAATGAAGCTGGCGGCTTTATTGAATTGCATGTCTTCAGAAACCGATTGTAGTCTTATTCATATTGGCCGTTTTTCACCTGTCTGAGAGCACAAAAAAACTACGGACTTGAACACGGGGACGGAATTCGTGCGTTAACGCAACATCGTGAATGTTTATCTACGTTTTTAGTACCTTTACTACAAATTCACTCCCCAAATTGGTGCACGAACATTTCTCCCAAAAATCAACCGTTGACGCTTTTTGTGGAAAGATGGAAGCTGTGCATGTAAATTACCTCCAGTGAAAATTATTTTGCTTTTGCTGACCGTCACCTTATATCCATGTTAGAATCCACTTATCATTGGCTCACCGTACACTTCGCACTCACTGAATTCTCAATTTCGCCTCTATATTTGTCCATTGTTGGTATCCATGAAACATTATTTTAGCCTTTCTCTGGATATTGTTACTGGAGAACTTTCCCTGACTATAAATTACCGATAGGTCTTCACGGTCAGAACACGAATATTTACCTCTCTCCGTTTTCCCTTTCAACGTAATTCTGTGTTAAACGGATTCATCGATTTGCGCATCTCCTTTTCACGTTGCCTTCCAGCCTCTAATTTGTTGTGCAAATCGAACGAAGATGCCAGAGGCAAATTCTACAGCCGACGCTTCGTGGGCTTCTCCACCGCCGGCCTCCCACTCTACATTCCCCAGACGACGGTGTCGGGCGGCGGCGGCGGTGGACCTGGCGAGGGCGATGGTCCGAGTCTGGCCTACCACGTCCTCGCAACCCTGAAGCAGGTCACGTCGGACCGGGCTTCGTTTCGTATTTTCGTCTTTCTCTGCTTGAACCTGGTCAGTTGGCTTCTCTTCTTTGGTGAAGCATCAACGTCACCTTTAGAACTTATCCGTCGTCTATAAGCGTGATTAAATAATGCGATTTCCGTTCTAAATAGGTGCTATCACTTGTTTTTTATCGGTAAAGCCATCCATCCATCCGATCTCCAGGTCTCTACGTACAAGTTTTTTTTACTTTCAAGGGCCCTACGGATAATGTAAATCTGCATATTAAGTGGAATCGTAGTATGTATCACGGGCTAAACCCAATACAGAAACTAAAAATGAGTATTTAACAAAGTCAGCTGCGAGGTTCCGTCAAGTCGATCTCCAAGGTTTAGGATGATTTTTTTTAATATTTTGTCTATTAATGTCTTTATATTTTATGCTAAATACCACATATTAACTTTCCTTAACGCTGCTCCCAATCGCACATGATTCCGTGGGTTCGCAAGGGTTAATTCATTCCTAATTACACTGCGTATTTCAACTTGCAGTCCAGATCGCTGTCTTGAAGCGCACATGATCAGGAACGACGGTGTCGACTATTCGTTGTGTGAAAGATTGATCGCTTAGTCTAGACGCAAGTGTCGCTACCAAATACGCAATAAAGAAACCCAAGTAGATGTGGCTTGTTACATTTTACAGCCATCGCATGAAAAACAACGAAGTTTACCTGCACATCCCACTGTAAATGATTTTACACATCGCGTTTCTAAGCGCGACATTGTCTACAAAGTTGATGCTTCCCTGTGGAAATTTGGACAAATAAGGCGATTTGTTCGACGCTGTGCATTCGTTGAGTCCAGTTAACCCGACCTCCGAAGTTCCAGTAGCCGTGTCAAATTAATTGCCTTCACCTGTCTACCTCGAATATTCTTCTTCCGGCTAATGCCTCTGTTGTTGAGTTTTTTTTTGCGGATTTATGTTAACAACTGGAAGAATGTTGTTGCGGAGTCATATCAGTAGTCACCTAACCAAAAAGGGCAGCTTAATTTGCGAAACTGATCTGTAAATGAGAAAAGAAAGCAGTTGGTCTATCGAGGCAAACAGTAATTTTCCTAAATTTTCTAAATGCCTGCTTATTGTTCAGCATATTTTTTGGCCTTACCACCAGCCACTAACTGTACTTTCGGTCAGGCACGTGTCGCCGCAAAAAGGAATCAACCCACACCCATCTTTTCCATTTTTTACTTACATCCACTCACCATGCAAGAACCCCGGTTTCTTGTGGAATTCAAGGGCTATGTTATGTACAACTCCTGAAGCCCAACTCCACGTTGACAACCTCTTTGCTAATAATTTCCCCTTTTTTTAGTCTTTCACGTTCATCGAACTGTTTTACGGTGTTTGGACTAACAGCCTCGGCCTGATCTCGGATGGCTTCCACATGCTGTTCGATTGCGCTGCCCTTGTCATGGGCCTCTACGCGTCGGTTGTCGGTCGGTGGAAACCAACGCGTATCTACTCTTACGGGTGTGTTTGGATAGTCGGGCTAACTCATAATCTGACGCAATTTATGAGCAAACTTTTTTATATGTGGTCTTGTGCAACACGTCTCAAAAAGTGTAGGTACAGTTGGAGCCGGGTCAATGCAGAGCCTAATATAGAAAACACCGTAATTGAAACACTTATTGTCGATTATTCACCAACCTCACGACGAGGGTTTATCGAATAAGGCCAGGAGAGATTTTAAGCACGTCTTCCTAATCTGTTGAGTCATCATTTTGTGTGAGTGGATTCCCACCGATCGGCAACGTTGGCTACCCTCTACTGGTGATTAAGGCGTACAGTAGTGGTTCTTCTATGTGGTGTAACAAACACCGGTCGGGTAAACTCAGAGTTGCTATCCGAAATCGCACGATTCATATTCGTGTTCTGCCTTCACCACAGGTTCCATCGGGCTGAGATTCTCTCTGGCTTTGTCAATTCCCTCGCCCTGCTGGTTGTTTCCATGTCAATCGCCATTAACGCCCTCAAGCGAATTCATCAACCACCAGACATAAATACGGATCGGCTTATGGTAGGTTATGCGAACTCTTTCACCTTGCCAGTTGGGATATATACCTCCGAATCTTGGGTTATGCAGTGACATCGCTCGGTGATTAGCTATTCTAGACTAAATTTTTTTGGATGGTAATCTGACTTTCCTTCACACGCTAATGTGCCACATGCATTATTTTAGTTATGCTTTGTTTCCCCACATACAAATGGTAGATTAGGCAGGGCATTTCCATTGTCTGTGGGTTAAAGCAAAGCACCGAGTGTAATAAATGATAATCCTTAATGGTCGCTTTCGACAAGACCAGGGGACGCGGCAAGGTGTAACAGTCAGGCGTGGTGCTTGAAGAGGAAGGTGCAGTAAGTAGGGCCGTCAGGCCTGTGTGGGAATTCTCGCCTGCCGTTATGTCCTTGGGATAAGGAAAGGTGGCCAAATTAAATGCCCTCCGATGTCTTCTTGCCAGGCGGTATCGATCGGTGGGCTTTTGGTTAACCTGGTGGGCATCCTTGCCCTAGGGCACGCTCACAGCCACGGGGGCTGTAGCGGGTCCCACGGTGGTCATGGGCACTCCCACGGTAGCCACGGCCACTCCCACGGACTCGCCTCTTCCTCCTCCTCGCACGCTCACGCGCACGACAAGTGCGTCGCTGAGACAGCGGTGCCCTGCACCAACGGCCTCTCCGACGCCCACGACGCCCTCTCTGAGGACCACGAGGAGGCCTCGGGGGACAGCAATCTGAGGGGTGAGTTGCCACATTTACTCAAAACAACGGCTCTCAACCTCAATTCTGCACTTTCCCTTACAATTTGTTGCTCATCGTGGCGCACTGGTGACGGTATGCTGGGCTTGGGAAGTCTGCTGTTCCCTTTGTCTCAGAGTAATTCGGGTTACGCGCTTCGTTTAATTGCTGCATCGCCTTTACGTGTGGTGTTTGCCCACCAGTTTAAGCTTCCGGTGGGTCACAGATTTCCAATAACATGACACGCGGTACATTTTCTGCTTTAAGTTGCGCTTACCCTGGCGATAAGAAGACATACAATAAGGAAGTTGAAATTCCTAAATTTCATCCGTAAATTCCTCAGTTAACCGACAATACAGCAAATCAGATATTTCCTAGTCGCAGTTAATAATTCTACATCAAAACAATGCTCGTTTCTGCATTGTGTCACTAATTGCCATGACGTCTAACGCGCGTACTAAAGCTCTCCATAACTCGATTGTTTTTTTTTGTAGGCGTCTACTTGCACGTTCTGGCTGACACACTAGGCAGTGTTGGGGTGATAATTAGCTCCTTCTTTGTGACTAACTTCGGTTGGAACATCGCTGATCCAATCTGCTCCCTGTTCATTTCCGGCGCCATCACTTACTCTGCGTTGCCACTTGTCAAGGACACGGTTCTTGTCTTGGCGCTGCGGGCACCGTCCAAACGCCACCCCGCCCATCCGCAGCGCATCCTTCGGAAGGTGAGCCATCTGCTGCTGCTGCTGCTGTTGCTTCTGCTCTTAATTCTCATTGCCATCATTAACTGTCAACGTAAGGAATGTAACCCATCACAATGTCACATAATCGATTGGCCGCTCATGGTTGAGAGTTAGTCGTCTGGCTTCGCTTAATAGAGAGATTCCAGGTATGCTTTTGTCGACCACATCACTTGTTTTATCTACTATAAGGGGTTTTCGTAACCTGGTTTTGTTTGTGTGGTTATTAAAGACGACTTACAAAATGTGTAATGACCTTTTGTGAATCGTGATAATTTGCGTCTTTCATCTGTGCTAGCTCATGCCCAGACGCCAGGGTAATTCATCCATTCAAACAATCCGTGTGCCCACTCCACATACCCCTAGTTTAAGCGTCCTCATCCTCATCGCGTGCACGACTCCGCAGCACTGCGACTGAGTTGAGCCCTCCTCTCTAATGCGCACCTGTGTTTCCGTCGGCTGTGGTCTTCCCGTTCTTCCCTGAGTAGTCTCGGTGTGGGTCCAAGACCTCTGCAAGCTTAACCAATCATTTTACAGATGGACTGCAAGCACTGGAGGTCTTCCTGTCAAATCACATGTCCGGCGGCAGATGTTACAGTGGAATTTGGACTTTCTAATGCAGTGTTTTGATGTTTTTGACCTAAGGTTCTTCAACTGGAGAATGTGCTCGAAGTGATAAATCCCTGCATTTGGCAGAACACCGAGGACTCCATCTGTTGCTCCATGCGCCTACGCATCGCTCCCCAGGCCACCGAACAGCTCGTTCTGATGCAGGCACGTACTCGCTTTTTGCATTTGTCATTTAGAAACGCGGGCGTACATTATAACTAGCACCATGAGCGATTCGTCTTGTCGTAGGTTTTTATTCGCTTCCGTCAGTACCCCCGCAGTTATGATGTCCATCTGGGTTTCTTAATCGTCATTTTTTAGGTGTACGACTTTGTTTTTACCGATTGTTCAGCAAATTTACTTAATATTATTTGCCTAATATACTGTGCATCACTCGTCACAACTTTCCACACGAAGTCCTTTTTTGTTGCCAGCAGGCAATCAGTGAAAGGCCTGTGTTCATACGCGCACCCAGGTTGTGTTCAGTCAACACATGTGGGGAGACCCAGTTTCTAAGTTTTCGAACTGGTCTCATTTGATGCAAATAGCTGTTTGTGTAACTTCTGACCGAGCCGCAGGTTGCTGGTGCGTTTGCGTTGAGTCTCCATCCAGTAGAGCTTGCGATTCCGCATCTTCACACTTTCGAGGCAGCTGTCGGAGGCGCAGCTGGTCATTAAGATCGAAATCGCCGCTTCTAAAATGTTTGTACCAGTAATTACACGTGTCGTTAGACACAACGTCGATAACACCAAGAATTGGTTCCCCCGTGCTTCAGAAGCAACATTTTTTCCTTGTTTGAAATCTTGTAAGATGCAGTGCCATCAAATAGGCTGATTATCACTTGTTATCGTCATAAACTCTTCTATTCTGAGACGTTACGTAATTCACGTAGACTTGTCGTTCGGTGTTCTGAAACCTTGCGTCCAATCCTTTCTAAACCAACAGACCGCAAAAATACTTTCATTTTAAATATAAGTTTAGGCTCTAAGAAAAAAGTTGTAAAAATTACTTCGTACAACCGACCGTTCGTTTTATCGTCGTCGTTGGCTGCTTCACCCAACCGATGTCAGTCAGTATTGTCTCAAAATGCACAAATGTAGTAAGGTAATCCAAAAACAGTCGACCCAGTGTCTTGCCAAATCCACAGTCAGGTTATCAAATCACTTTTCAAAAATCTCGTGTGTTTTGTCTTATCACCCCACTAACATATACTTACAAAACACGCCTTTTTGTGCCTCAGGTGAAGGAAACCCTGAAGAACGACCAAATAAGTCACCTGACAGTTCAGTTGGAGAAGGACGATTTCTACCAACACATGGATGCACTGGATTTGCACCTAGACTCCACTTCCTGCTATTCGAAAGCCACCCTCTCAGAGTCACCCAATCACCGTCATTCCCTCGGTGCGTCGGTGACAACCCACACTAGCCATGATGGCGGTGGCTGGACAACAATTAAATTTTAATATTTCTAAGCGGTGATTTTATGAAGATTGCGCTGCCTTTTCTTTACAACTTCCCCATGCAGGAGTGCGGTTGTTTTATATCCATTTCGTAGAATTGGGGGAGCTTGACTTAAAAAAACACCTAATTCTTCTGTTTCTTGGACTTGTATGGTAGCCTGTGTGTGCAATCTAGTTGTAAAGTACCTGAATCTACCGAGGCGTCTCCGTTTGTCTTTCTGGCACTCGCCAGACTACCTGGCGTTGTCTTCACAAAAAGCAGTCACATGACCTCCGTTAAAGTTTTTAACGGTGACTTGACACTGTAGGGGCGCTTTAGGGATTGGCTGAAACGTGTTTTCTGTGCATTGGCCAATGAAGGTCGTAGTTAACTCAGTACAAACCATGTGAACCAACCACCCAACCAACCCAATCGAGCCGCTGCGAGTTGTTTTTTGTATATTTTAAAACAGTAATTGGAGCAATTAGTTCATATTAGTTTCAAAAAGATTCAAAATATAAACATTGTGTTGAAAATGAAGGGAGTAAAGGTCGTTCGAGGCAAGACAGGACTTGTTTGGACAGGGAACGGGAGATCTTTGATACAACTGATTCGTGGCCAATTCATTGGCTTGGCTTCTAGGAGTTTCAATAAACTACGTCGTCGCTTTTTATTTGTAGGCTGCCGGCATCCAATGGCCTCAATTTTTCCAGAGCCTGAAGCAAAAAAAAGAGTTAGATGTGTTTTCTGGGTTCACACAGAGAGAAACAACAGAGAAACAGACTCAGTCGCGTCCAATAAGTCTGGTTTGAGTTGAACGTTTGGAGATTGTGAAGTGCAAAAAGTCTCATGTACTGTGTCACTAGACGTGTTCTGTGGAACCACAAGAATCTTTAACGGTTCATAATGCAGTGAATGTGGTGCGCTGAATGCACTTTAAACTCCTATGGCTTGTTGGTACCTGCTTCCCAGATTGTAACTGGTTCTACACAAGGTCAAATCATTGAGTTTTGCGGTGTTCGAATATTCAACCATCGTAATGAACGTTAATCGTGGGGGTATTTGCTCTAAGATTTCACAACTCGCGTTAAACACTCGCCTGAGGGCACGTTGTGCTTCGGTTTCAGAAGTGAATGGCAACATTGTGTCCGTTGGGGCGTCCAGTCTTTCCAAAACAACAGTCCTCGTGGCAAACTGGTTCGATTTTCGGTGTTGGGATTCGTCATCTACCTTCCTTTCTGCCCTCCATTCATTTCAGTTATCGGAGAGAATGTTACGCGCATATCAGAGATCGAACCATCCACCATGGTCTTTACTGGATCAACAAATTACAAACTAAAGTTCTAAGGAATTTGGGTCTTAAATTTGATCGTTGTGCACCATACGACACATTGGTTTCGTGTACCAAAGCAACATTACGAGAACTGGCTATCGAATTAATCGAGTTAATATGTTGCGATTTTAAAATCAGTTTTGTCAGATTAAGCTCATCCCCTTTTACTTATGTGTACACTAAATTGCAGGACAGGGAGCCAAAGTTGCCGGTGAAGTGAGCTAATTTTTCCGGCACCAATCGTTTGCAAGAATCGTGACTTGCCAACATCCGTCTTGATGGGCCTTTTGCCCTATTCTGGCATCGCCACTTCATTATAGCCATTGTCCAACTTTGCATTATAGTACGCTGATGCGTAATTTTGGTGGGATATTGTACTCAGCCCTAGAGGACAAATTCAAGCACTGCCATCGTCGTGGCACATCTGACAGGGAGATGCTAATCGATAAGGCCTGTGAACTGTGTTCAGCTTCGCTAAAATCATTATTTTCAGGTGTTTAAACGAGTCAAGTGATGAACCCATGCAACTCTCAAACAAGTTTGATCAGCCACCTTACTATGGAGAGTGGACGCCTTGTTCTTCGGAACCTTTTCACATAGTAATTTAAACCCCTGTGCTTTTTAATATGCCAAAGTTTGTGTATTCATAGGCAAGAACAGTGCATTGTCAAATAAGTGTTGTTTAACTGGATAATCCAAGATATAGATTAAAATGTGCCGCTCTTTTGAGTCTTTCGTAAAAGTACCCAGTTTCTAGTAACCGAACAAGTCGCAATGCAAATCCTAAACCTTATGACTCAACCACGAATCCCAGTATTACCCACAAATAAATTTGCAAAATTTCTAATTGAAGTTGGGAAATTGTCGAAACAGCTTAAGGGGGTGATTAAAATCCAGGCCTACTAAAGTTCCGCACGTGGATGCAGTAATTCTAGGTGATAGGAACAATACAGAATGGTGCATCTGAGGTGTTTGCGTAGACTTGAGACCAGTTAATTCACACCCAACAACTCTCAATACTTGGTCGGTCCAAACATTCCACTACGAAAACCCAAGTAAAGCGTCCGGGGTGTACAAAGAGTGGGCACCCAGGTAGACCTACCGATGTCCGGCGTCGCAAGGAGACGGCGCGTCTGACTGTTGGCAGCTCGTCGGGCGTCTGCATCCAACTGTGTTCCAGACATTCTTTTACGCTCGGCCGGTCTCTACAAATTCAAGCACACTCATTGTTTAGGACTGTGCCTTAACTGGGCACAAAAAGCAGCAGCAGTGGAAACTCACTTGGTATTTTTCTTCAAAATCATTCGGATGAAGTCCTTCGCTTTTTCCGAGGCATCACAGATGCCATCGTCGTCAAAGTTGTACCGACAGTTAATTATGTTTGTGGTCACTTCAGCCATAGAAAGTTCTCTGTCTGGATTTCCCGACTGAGGGCATTCGAACGGAGTTATACCCGACAATCTAGAACAAAAGTCCACACACACCTTAAATCCAATTTGTCTCTTTTGTCTTACGAAAAAATGCTCGCATTGATGCCATTTAGCGAAGAGAGGGAATGTGGTGATAAGGGCGAGGATCGCGAACATGGGATTCAGATAACAGTAGCCAGTATTTCTAATCCTGCCTGTGGGTAATTCGAGAGCATTACGATCGGAATCGACACCTCGTTAGTGGTTTAAAACGCAAAAAAACATGTGAAATGGCTTCTCAAACACATGTTTTGCCACTACTAGCTTTTGTGGGGTAGGATTAGGTGCTGTAGCACAGTCGCCAGATCAATTATGCCAACTCACGTACAGTTCGTAAGCAATGACACCGACACTCCAGATGTCCGTCGCAAAGTTCTGATTTTCGTAGTTGATTGTTTCCGGGGCCGAGTAGGTGAAGGTGCCGCCCACCTGTCGCCTGGGTTTGTCTGGGTCGTAGAAGTAGGCCAAGCCGAAATCGATGATCTTCAGCTGATAGCCTGACGGTGCAACCATCATGATGTTCTCCGGCTTTAGGTCAAGGTGCAGCACTGAACAGGCTTGAATATGCTGGACTCCGAATAGCAATTGGCGAATTATCGAAGCGCTGATTTTCTCATCGAGGTTGTCTTCTGCTACCACGCGGTCATAAAGAGCGCCTCCGCCTACACTGTAAAAAGGCAGAAAGTCGGCCTGGGTAGTTGGGGTTTCGCCTGTCAGTCTAGTTGGATAATAACATCTCTCTACTAACGCTAGAAAGTAGTAATAAACGAATGGGACTGAATTTGCTGCCATGTCGTCGCAGATACAGATTAATTCAAAGACAGATGGCTTCAGTAAATACGTGCTATAAACGACTGTATAGGTTGATGTGCTGTTTCTTTATAAATGGTTAACCGAAGCTGCCACGTGTTTTACTAAAAAGCACCAGGAGGGACTGAAGGGGTCATGTGTGGCGCGCATTTTGGTCGGTTGTGGCGTCTCAGATTAGAACACCGAGTGGGTTTGGGATAATTAAGTGAAAACCTTTAGGTGACTTCACAAAAGAAAACAAAAAAAGCAACGATAAACCTGGTTGACAGCCGCCCCCCATTCTGCAGCCTCAATTTCGCTGCAAATTTGGCATACAATCAGGCAGGTAAGAACTTAGTTTGATAGACAAGTCGGGCGCTATTCTAAAAATTAAATGGTTATTCATTCAAATACAGTAAAATTTATCATTTGGAAAGAAATTTTATACATTGGTTAAATCGTAAATGCATACAGACGGTGTCTGCATTACCCTTGCTGTGTGAGACATATACCCTAGTGATAGCGATGAGGACAAAACGATTAGTCACGTTTGAGATGATCACACTCCTCATGGTTACAACCCATGTCAATTTATTGATAGAAACTGAATGATTCACTGCTGTTTTGAAATCAGGTGCTGTAAAGTAAATAAAAAATTTAGACCGTGGCTTAGTGTTGTGACTCAGCACTGCCTTACGACCCTCTAGTTAGCAGGCCGCAACAACCCGAGAATGAGAACAAGACAGGTGACAGCGGATATGACCGTTTGTTAGAGTTAAGTCAGCCAAATTTCTTTTTGTGTGGATGATTGCGCGCGCATAACAGACAGCTGATAAAAGTAACCAATGAAAAATATGGATGAGTCATTGTAATCAATAATCGTGTAGGCGAACCTTACTCAAGCGTAATTCTTGACAATCCACTACACTGACCTCTCAGTTGTGTGTTTTTTAAACAATCCAAGTAGGTGGCATAATCTCATTAAAATTTGCGAAGTGTGTTTAAAAAATGCATTGACATTTTGCATCACTGACAGAATCGGATTGATGGCTTTCATGAGATGTAATAAAGGCTTACAAACAAGTGGCATTGCGCTGTGATCATCCTCTTTAGCAAATTCAATTTATAACAGGTTAATTATTTGCGGCAACGAATGTAATACTTTTTTTTATAGAAAGTGACGACGTAATGTTAGAGGTGAACATTTTTCAGTAGCTTAACGAACTTCCTTTAAAGAGAACGGAATTCGGTTGGGCATTTCTATTGGTGAAAAGCAAACTGGTAAGCTCCGGGTTGCTGAAATCTGGTCAAACATTTTACGCAGATAAGTAAAGTAAACTTTTTTTGCTCAGAATCCAGCGTTTATAATTTATTGACTTATGAGTAATTTTGCACGACTTGGACAACAGTTTCATTGTTAATTTAGGTGTTGACACAGCCAAATGACTACTTATCAGAGGCGGGTGTGCGAATGCACTACTAGCGGGGTAGTTGAAGAGGACTATAAATAACACCTCTTGGCAACAAACTCACAAAATCATCAATAAAATTTAAGTAACACCTCTCGCAGGATTGGCTTTCAGTTCATGATCATACCGCAATAAAATCCAGCCCTTTAGTATTCCAATGAGGGGTTATTTTTTTCTGTGAATATGTGATTTTCATATTTGAGGATACGTAAATGTATGTAAGTATCAAACACGAACATGACAGCCGACTGAACACTCAAGCTTTCGTGGCATTTCCAGGATTCACTTGGCTACCTTAAATCTTTGACTGATAATCTAGACAATAATGTGAAATTTCGCAAGTAAAAGTTAGACATTAGGTGAGAAAGATAAAATGAGATTTATCATATTATGATCAATGTAGCTGCTGTACATTTACTAAAGATACAAGGAATGACAACGGCAGTGGTCCAAATACCGATCAGCTTATCACTACGATGATTGGTTTGGCAGAACATTCAATTAACTGCTCATTTACTTCGAAAAATCAGAATTAGAGGGTCAGAGACGATTAACAGTAAATGGAAATTTTGAAAGCTTCATTTTCTTCTGAGGCACTTTTAAAAAGTAAGGAAGCAACACTTCATTCATTGGTTCACCCTTAATCAGCAAATATGTAGGCCAAGAACATGTTGCAGAGCCAGCAATATGTGCTGATTTTTGAACCGTAACGCATGTTCTTGAAACTTACAATTCAGTGATGATGTAGCACACGCGCTGCACCTCATACACACTGAAGAGACTGGCAATGTTCTCGTGCTGGCCAATGGCTCGAAGAATGGCCACTTCCATGATATCGCCGGAGCGGTGTCGAGGAAGACGAGATGTGTTTACGACCTTGACAGCCATTGTTTGATTGGTCTGTATGTGCTTGCACCGTGAGACGCTGCCAAACTTTCCCCTTAAGGCAGAAGAGTAGAGTAATTAATTGCTTTGAACGCCTACATTTCACACGAGAATGCTTAAAGTTAAATTCCGCTTTTAATAAGTGCAGAAAATGTAACAAATGAATTTACTATCAACTCTCCGTAAGCATGGATTCACACCACCGTATTTTGATGCATTACAATTTAAAATAGCACCAACTGAAATGGTATGTATCATTGTAACATGTTAGCCTACAATTTCGTTTTCTTAAACCATGCTCAATTGTTTTGGATTTTGGAGACCTTGGTACGAGTTCCAGGGAAAAATGATTCGAGTGCTCCGTTCTAAGCAGAAGGCAATTGAAGGCGGTAAGCCATCAAGCCATTGTAAATTAATGACTGCGTGTAACTTTCCGAACTCGGAGGGTGTATACTTAGCTACAATGTGCTTTCAGTGTTAGACAGTGCGCGACTGCGTAACCACAACACCCATGCAAATCAGTTGTCCCTTAACTATCTAACGAGGAAAACGGCTGCATTTACTTCAGGTTACTATTCATAGGCATCGGAAAATCGGACATTTGCGTAGGTAACATTGGGGTTTGTGGAAGGTTATGCAGACAAATGATTATTCGAGTCAGGCAAATCCAAAAATGGTCTTAGTATGGCAGGAAAGATGCGGTGAAAGCCAAGATTAAGTGTCCAGAAACTTCAAATAACTTAGACCGATCTTTTTGCTTCACCAGCGAGACAACATTACGGTGATTTGTAATCACGTCTGCCTGCGCGCACGCACACAAGACACGCAAAGAAACAATTAGCATACTTGTCTCTTACAAGTGGGCCTTGCGTGTGAATGCGCGATGCGATCGATGGCAATGTGTGTAGACAAATCGTTCTGTGTACCAGCTCAAAACTCGACGTGTTTACTAAAAGCTCAAAAGCTAACTCCGAAACCATTCCTTGGCCAAGCCCAGTAGTGGGCAGATCTTGCAAAGTCAAGACAGGGCCAGGATCTCAGGTCATGATGCTAGAGAAAGCAACCAATGGCCTGTCATGGGACCCTGTGTGTGCTAGTGTGTGATACCAAAAAAACCCCGTAAAAACAGACAGTCAGCAAAAGTTTTAGGCCATTTAGCTAACACGTCCAATATACGTAACACACGAAGAGTGTATTTTGAAGATATCTTCAGTGCAACTGGGTTTAAGCATAAACTGACTATTTGGCTCTCTGGAAGAAGGCCAATGCTTGAGGTACTGAGAGAATCGTATAACATTGTTTGAAAGCCTTTGGTTTGCTTAACAATCGATTTCAAAGGAGGCAAAATTAAACAGACTCATGAAATAAGAAAAGCTGAAATGTGCTATAATTCTGTTAAGCAATTTTAATGATCTTCATGCAACCGAATATATTATTTAAACTAATTTCCACTAATAATTCACAACTTCTTAGTAGTTTGAATCACAAAGGCTCAGTTACCGGTTTTCAGTCCCGCTAAAAAATTATTGATTTTTTGTTTGAAAGGCGCGCAATCAGATTTTGAATAAAAATTCTGAGCACTCTTTAGGCAATTAGGCACTGCGAAACCCCATAGTTGAATTAACAGCGAAATATTGCAACGAAGTATATCCCACAGATAAGATAAAAAATATTAGTAATTAAAACGGTGAATACACTTTATGCAAGCTTAACTAGTCGCTGTACAGACTTCACAGGGTTTAAAATTAAGCATTAGGAAGTTTAATAATTAAAACTGAGTATTATGTTTTTTTTGTATTATCTGAATGGTGATAGTACTTTACAAGGTGAGACCGAAGTCGCAGTTTTAGTGCGTGATTCAGACCTCTTTAATTCCTTGCTATTTAATATATTACTTTCATTAATGTGGTGTGCAACTATGGGGAAATCTGATCTGAAATCCTTTACCCGTTCAAGAAAAAAAAATTTGATTTGCAGCAGAAATGTTAATGAAGCGGTTTGTCCGAAAGCAAAAAATTGCCACTTTTTTTCTCTACTTGAGGATTAAATACACTCGTTTTGTTATGGGAGCTGCATCTGCAATTAAAATTCAGAAGCCCGTTTGCCGAACTCACCTTCCAACCTCTTCGAGGATCTTGAAGTGTTCATTCGGAGGAATATTTTTGTGCGTTTCGGGGTGATATGCAGCAATATCTTGTCCGTTTTCTGGAACTAATAAAGCATCCAGTGATAACAATTGACAAATACCCAAAAAATAGGACGAAATTTTGCAGCAACTTTCAAAGTCGCGCTATTTCCAAACTCATCTATTAACTCCGTGTTTCAATGTTTGATCGAAGCAGATAACAACGCTGCAGGAAGCATAATTAGCCATACGAATTAAGTAAGCCCGTCCTCATAGCCTTCGTCACGTCTTATGTATTCATAATCTTCTTGCTTCGAGATTTTGCCATTTTAATTTAAATTGGTTTAAAATAATATTATAACGGTTGACATGAGGCAACCGAACACATCTAGCGTCTGCGGTCAGAACCACGAATTGAGAAAAGATCGTAGTTCCTTGGACGACATTCTCATTTTAATCGAGGAATATGAATATGCGTGCTCACTGGTTCGCTGGGATTAGAGTCCTTTAATGGAGAAGTTTCACGTTAAGAATCTGTCCTTAGCTGAATGACTCAACTTAGAAAATTGCCACTTATTTCTGTGAAGAAGACAGTCTGGAAATTAAGTGTTCTTTAATATTGGAGCCCACATTATGATGACTTTGGTAAGGCAAATCGATTTTTACGCAAAAATCGGGAAATGTTGCGTGTGTCCGGCTTGGCAAGAATAAATTTATTAATAAATTCTACCTTGTGTACGATTACGTTTCAAGTTATGTTTTTGCGGTTACCTAGGAATGCGCACAAACCAGGCAATGTGCGCATAATTTATCTCGCAAAGCACCAAAACGTGGGCAGGTACTGTAAATTGTTGCCATCGCGAGTTTGGCATGTGACAGACTAAGTGAGCGAGCAAATACTCTCCAGGCTTCTAGTCATCTAGACCAAGATCTAAAGCGTGAGTTTTCTCATTGAACCAGTACAAGTGAGAAATGTCGTTCTTCCAACGACGCCGAAAATGCAAAGACGATGGTGTTGCAGCCTAAGTTAATTGATAAACGTTAATTTGAAAAGTACCCTTCACTATGCAAGCATGTGATTAAGGCATCGACGCATCATAGGACAAACGTGGCATTTGTTCTTTCGTAATTTCTGTTTCACTTATTCCGGCAAATTCCTCTCTTAGAGGTTTCTGTACACACAGAAGCAATGATAAAAGTCAGTTCAGTCAAGTTTGTGAGTTGACGGGAAGTTAGCTGCAAGTAAACCTAACTTTTCCTGTTCACTATCGTGATCTTGGACGGCAATTCATGAGTTGGTGCTGAGCCCAGTATCGTCCATTTGGTCCATGAAGTAAGCAACGGAAACACTTACGCCTTAGGTTTAGTAATCATGTTAAGTAGGCAACAGTTTGCACGAAAATTCAGTAACCAATCAGCTCGAGCTACGTCATAGTGACACATTAACAGTGAGTCAACGCAGTACCGACCCTTCGCTGTTCCATTACATACAACTTCCACTTCAGATTTCAAATCTCGCGTTCTACAACCTGAAGTGGGTCTGGCGAAAAAGCCTCACATGCGTCAGGGAAGTTCTGCCTTTCCCTAGCAATTGAACACCCCATAGGTTCTAGTTTGACTCAATATGAAGGCGCAAGTCTTATTATGGCCACCGAAATCAACCGTAGGATTTAAGGAACCTCAGAAAGTATTGTCTTCTGAAAAAAAACTTTAAAATCATAGTCCCCACAACCATAATCATAAACATGACGGAAGGCATTTTTTGGAGATTTCAAAACCACAGTGTCATTCGTGGAAGCGTCAAGAGACGAAAGCCTTTTCAGGTGAACCTGGAATTTCACTAACCTAGAATCTGCAGAAGTAGGCATACAGTGACAAACACTGGCAGACATTGGGGCGCGGGAATAGAGGTGAAAAGACCCATTGAAATTAACTGCCTGGTGAATGCCTACTCTCGAGGCGGCGTATTTAAACAAGCTTGCCACAGGTGCAATATTAAATTGTTGATATTAGAATACTTCAAATAGCCGCGGCAAAGTAAGACCTACCATTATCTCCAGACACGCCGATCGTCTGTGGCCGCTTGGTGACGTGCTGCCCACGGGTTAATTTGGTTGACTTTCTTTCAGAATTATGAGTGTTTCGATCAGACGTCACTGTAATCTCTGGTTTCGAGAGCGAAGCGGTCGTAGTACTGGGATTAGCACTAGGGGCATGAAGGGTTTCGGAAGGGGAGGGTTTGCTAACCTCCACTCCCGCATCTCCGTCTTTCTTGGGGTTCCCAGCAGGTTGTACTTGTTGCGGTTGATGCGTCTTCGGGATGAAATGCTGGCCAGGAGCAGGCGGTGTTGAGGGCATCGATTTGTCCCGTTTCTTGGCCAGTTGAAGCAGCGACTTTTTATTGTCCTCGAGTGGCTGCGAATTCAGGGTACCCGAGGAAGTGGACGGAGGAAGGGGTGTACCTGCTTGATCAGGGCAAGCGTGCACAGATGTATTGACGTCGACGGCTGGCGTTGTCTTTGAAGAGCCCTGTTTTTGCGAAGAAACTGGATTGGAGAAACTGAGGGGCACGTTTGTAGGTGCAATTTCTTGACTTGCCAGTTCCGCCGTGTCATTTTTCATACAAATTTCTGGGTTCCCAGTAGTTGAAGTCAAAGATGCTGAACTAACTGGAACATTCCTAGACGAATGCACATATCGCTTAGCTGATAACCCAGCAGACTGAGATTCCTTTTGTGGAGAGAGTGATGTGGGACCTTCAGTCTCCTGTGTACACGGATGAGTCGATTTCTTAGCTGCCGACACAGCACTTTTCGCCGTAACCAGCCCATCGTTCACAGTTTTGGGTTGTGGTCCCGCTTTGTTCAACGATGCATAAATTTGCTTCTCTCCCCCACTCCCCGGTTTGGACTCTGGTGATTTTTTGTCCTGCATCTCCGGGTTATTTGTGCATTCATAGGGGCTCTTTACTGTTCCTCCCTCCCTTCTAACATCACACTGCGACAAAAGCAAAGACGAGTGATGCTTTTCGGTAGATGTCTCAACCGGTCCGGCCTCCTGGCCAGTTTTTGTCTCCCCAGCCACCGGCGACACGTATTTCGTCTCCACTAATGACAGATTTACAGACGTCTTAACAATGCCCTCTGATTTGCTCTCTAGAGGCAGTGCCGATTCTTCCCTGAAACCCAAGGAATCCCCACTTCGCTGGGAATTCTTGCTATCGACTTGTGCATGCATAGAATTGGATGAAGAAGTAGTTACTTTACTCCTCCTCGATAGACTACGCAAAAGCTTTGTAGTTGTATTTAAAGCACCCCCAAATTCGTCTCCAGGAGTTATATTGGGTGGGGTGAACTCTGAAAGGGACTGCTTTTGAGATGATTTTAAGGGGGAAACTTGAGAAATTGGTTTATTCACAGGCGTTGGTGAAATGCAAGTATTCTGATAAATACCACGCTCTGATGAAAGTGGTACTGTCTCCACATTACTTTTTGTATTGTTCGAGGTGCCTTGCAAAATTCCAAAAGAGGTTGGTAAATCGGTTTCGGACTGCCTTGAATTCATTCTCCTTCGTAGAAGACTAGACGCCTCAGGAGCGCAATCATTGGACAGTTTGCAGGTTTCCGGGGAAGCCAACTGTCTTATAACATCTGGAGAATTCCGAAGAGATGGGCGCATTTCTCTCTTGAGATGGACAGGTGAGACCATTTTCGGAACGATCAGCAGGTCATCGGGGGCATTACACGTTTCGTTTGCATCCCCCGACGGATGTAAGGCAGTGCCACCAACCGCTGAGCCGGTGTTCTTTGAGACTTGTCCAGGGGTGTCACGCGGCTGAGCCGAATCACTACCACCAGTCGCACTGGTTTGGGTCTGTGGAGAAATGTCACCATTGCATTTGTATGAAGAACTCAAAACAGGTTGAGAGGACTTTCGACCTGCCTCGTTGTCCAAATCATCAATGAATTGGGGTAAGCTTGGGACTTTTTTGGGGCCTAGACCGAATGGTGATCTGACCCCAGTTGGGCTAGGTGATAGGGGACTTTGGATGCCGTTGGCAATGTCTCTACTCCTCTTATAGATCCCTAGCGGAGGCGATCTGTTGCTTTGTTTAGCACCTGTCCGACCGTAACCACTAACCTGATCTTTTTGCGCCTCCAAAGATAAGTGACTTGACTCAGTTTTCCCATTCAGTTCGCCTGCAAAATTAAAATGTCCCCTACCACTGGTGGAGGAGGCAGAAGATAACGATGTTTCAGTGACCTGAGTGGTTAAACTCCCAGAATACTTTGCCAACTGTGGTTTGGATAGAGGGAGCCAGTTCATGTGGACATCGGCGCCATTCCAGAGGTCTTGTTCTGTCTGTGGAGGGGACTGGGTGAGGGTTAGTGTGGTTTCACTGCCGCCTGGTGTCTTGCGAACAGATCCCACAAACTTTTGATCGGCACCATAAGCTGCAAGGACCGGCCTCATGGCCTTGTCTGACGGCACCTTGTCGTGAGGCATTGTATCATCGCTCTCGATGACCAAACTTTCGTTTGACTGGTGTAATGACGAGTCGGAGTCTAATTCAACTTGAGTTGAGAGTCTTGTCGAATCGAGGTCATCCTGATACCAACTGGGCTCTTCTTTATTGAATGGTACCTGAAATGGGTCGAGTCCAAGTTGGCAACGAGGTGTGGAATTGTGTTCTCGGGATCCCTTTCCATGACTAGGGGCTCTGTAGCTAGTCATTGTGGGTGAAACGGAGACGCTAGAGATGATGGTAAGGGGACTAGTGCTCTTGTGTTCCTTGGTAATCAGCTCCTTTTCGTGCATTTCGTTTGAGGAAAAACCAGAGACAACGGTTTTAACCTTCCGAACTGATGAGTCAGCTTTTTCAAATTTCCGCAAAGAGGCTAAAGAAGGCATTCAGGTTTGTTAGGTAATATGCCAGATAATAAATGATATCTGCCTTTAAAAGAAACAATTTTCTACAAGTGCCTTCAATTCTTTTTAGGATATCTCACAGCCAAAACTGATAACTGCTTGTCGATTGGCCAGGCGGATTGAGTAAAACTGTGTGCTTATTGAAATGCAGTTAAATGGACCAATAACATCCTTGATCTATCTACAGGCTCTTTGTCATTATCTTGGCAAACTTTTACCACATTTGTAGCAATTCAAACGGAAGAAATAAGTAAACCAATTTAATCTAAAAGTACTAGGTAGAATACCCACAGGAGTGTCATCGTAGAAAAGACAAAAATCTCGTCGAAATGGGGCAAAATCGATTTCTACGGTGGACAGGCAGTTCGATTAAAAATCCAGTGCTACCAGTTTTGGGCCCCCATAGCTACTAGTCAGGAATTATTAGTGGTTGGGACTCACTCCTAACATTAGACTGGTTCCGACACGACGCTAACGCTTATTGTTCATACGTGATCAAGCACTCTCTTCAATGACACATCATGACTGGCGGATGAGTAAGCTGCTATAGCTACCTAGTCGTGTCGCATTTTTATCATTATCTATGGAATGTTAAATAAAACATGACCCCTAGGAAAGCATGATGCTAATAAAACGGAGGAGATTGCAACGGATCCCTAAATTTTCCCGTGATCACATTGGCTGTTTGTATAGATTGCTACTTCCCCTTAATTACTTTTGAGTAAGACTTAAATTCACCGCCCACAAGATTTCAACACACCAGAGGGATCAGTGGTCGCGGATTTACACGTGAATCGTCTCAACACACACCTACATTATTCCTAGGAAAAAGAGTAATCTTGTACACAATTGATAACTCACAAAGGGGGCGTGTTTCCACCCTCCCAACACGCATCAGGAAGGGCGGTGCGGGGACGTTGTTAACAGGACCCGGGGTTTGAGTCGTCTCGCCATAAATGGACTGAAGACAAGTTGTATGGAGTAAATTTCTACAATGCTATAAGGCGAGAATTGCATACACAAGATGGCAAATTGCATCTATTAGTGAATACTTCTACTCACTGGATCCTGCGTAGTAGTTATAGATTCTGTCCCTAAAAAAAGTATTTTAAACGTGCTGAAGTTTTAGTATATTTGCAAAAAGTGACCTATTTCTTGACAAATAAAAAACCTCAGTACTTATCGGGATACTCCACAAGTACCCTTGAATTACCATCAGAGGCACAGATCCCTAGGTGTCATCGGTGTGAAAATATTGAAGTATTTTAAAGAATGCAGAACAGCCAAACTCACAATAAACAGTTGGTTTTGTGTCAGAATTGACTGACTCACAGGATCCAACAGGAGAGATCTGCGTTGAACGCATTCTTATAACCTCCTGCTGTTTCGGTTGTTCGGGCGCAGGTTTGGCCACGGCCCCATTCACACTGCGATCCTACGAGTTTGGTTTAAAAATAGATCAATGGTCAGCTGTGGCGATTGCTTGTTTGAAACACGGCAGCAAATTTACTGACACATTACAAGCCGAACCGTGTATTTTCTCATTGTCACCGGAATTGATGAATTTGAGTTTATTATAATTGATGAACCTGTGTAATTTATTAGCCGCGAGGGTGTGAATATATGCGAATTTTCGTAGCACTTAGTAGTCAGAAGAGGCTGAAAGAACGCCGTTTACTGGTCGTGAGAAAAATATTGCCTTCTGCTCCCAGTGTTAAATACCATTGCCTAAGCAGTGTCCATTTAAACAGGCCAAGGTCGTGTCCTCAAGATTTATGCAAAGAAAGGCCAAGAGCAGTGCATTTTGATATTATGTTTAGAACAAAGTGTAACTTTAGGCTAAAAATTACCAATTAAGTCTTTGTCCTTGTTGTCACAAAATGAACTGATTTTAATTTCGAATTAGCACAAAAGGGATTTCACTTCTCATGGTGAAGATCCTGTGCTACTGGTTATCAAGGCAATGCAGGAACGATTCGACAGTGGCTACATATCCTCATGAGCTTAGTTGACAACACTTTTAAACACTGGATAAATTTTGTTTTCAATCGCAATGACTTATACACCCTCCCCCCTAATCTTATCCGGTCTTTTAAAGGTTAACTCAGCTTTGAAAACATTTTGTGGCCACGATTAAATTAAGTGCTTGAAGAAAATAAATTTCGCGTCTCACAGACCACCAAATTGATGTTCCATCAACTGTTTGTATTCATGACTACGTGATTTTCTACAACAGTGGTTGAAAAATGCTTTGATTGAAAGGGCCCTGGAGCCTAAAAGTGGTTTGCAGGCTTTATTCTGGCCATCATCCCCTGACCACTGCTCAGATCTTGTCAGTCGGGCTTTAGAGTTCTTAGGTGGGAAAGCACTGCGAATCAAAAACAATTTCTGGGGATTTTACATGAAAACCTTCAGGTAAAAATCATCACCCGGAGGGACTACATGCCAAAATATTTGGATGTGTAGGAAATCGACAGCCCCTACCACCGAATTCTTTGTGAAGCCTAAGTAATTAATGAGTCGGTACCAAACATAACCGTCCCTGGACTCAAAACCCATGGTAAACTGGTGATGGTCATGGATTTTTGGTGAATATGTCCACTCCGGTAAGTTACTTTCCAACGAAATATTAGCTACTATTTTTGGTAGAACTCAAATGTGATAAGTTCAAGCGGTTGGTTAGTTCATTATGCTGCGTGACGTCATGAAGGCCACACACAGCATGCGTCACGCTAAGTGAAATCAAAAGGCGTAAGTTGGCGCGACTCTCTTCTCTCGTCTTAATCTACGACTGCGTGTAATCTCTTCCAAAAATGCTCAACCAGAGATGTCAGTACTAGGTGATCTTCTTTTATGAAAAAAAAAGGAAAGTGACTTGATAGGACTAACGAAATTTCAGCAAAATGACAATATCTGATTATTGAAGTGAACTATTTGTATTCGGCAAAGGTTCGGCATGGCAAATCAGCTGATAAACAAGCAAATTCTAAAGACGGGTTTTAATTTAACTCACTCGAAGCACTTATCAATTAATTTAGTTTAATTGGCAAAAAGGCAATCTGATCGGCGTTCTATGAGAGTCTCTCCTGTGATTCATTCTTACCGTTGGTTCCATTGCTGGCCCATTCAGTCCTGGGGTATGTCTACAAAATAGAGACGAACTCTTTAATGAATGCGTCACTTCGGCACTTTGGATAGAAGCTATAAAACTAATTATTAACGAATTAAAAACGAATACCTAAATTGTCATGTCAAAGTTGCTCTTAGAATCGACTTTTGGAAATATTATGAAAAAGTAGCGTTATTGCAATCGATGTATGTAGTGCCTAGACCGCATATGATACCCCAAAAATTTCTCCAAATTACCATCCGAAATATCACTTATAACTGTCTACTTAGGACACAAAATTTGGCAGTCAGGCCAGTTAGGTAAAGTTGAAATAACTAGTACATGATACAAGCTTTCAATTAAGATTTCGGCCAAACTCTTGAATTTGAGGTATGGCTGATCAACATTCTTTTTACGAATGCTTTCATTAGGCTTTCTTGCTTAATTTTTCCTAATTTTTACTCAATTGCACTTATAACCCATGAAATGCGTCTGGGTCCTGTGGGCAATTTGGAAGAAACGCTAAAATAATCAAATTTGCTGCTTACATTTTACGCCCAAATTATTTAACACTTAATAAAAGTGTGGCCGTAAAAGATAACAGTAAATGATTTCGGGCACGTGGACGTTCGCTAATGCGAATATGGTTATGATGTTACAACGTGGTTTACATCGGCAAAATTGACGAGTCTATTCGATATCACTTAAAGTGTCAGCTATGTTCCATGATTTTGTCAAATGTACCTGGAATGTGAGATTTTTATAGATGGTAAATTATGAAACTCTAAAATGCCTTGCAATATTAAAATTTTGCCACAGCAATTCGGCATATGCCGGTTCTAAAAGCGTTTGAAAATGTCAATTTTTTTAAAATCTGTATAAATTTGACCTCGATTTACCGGAGCGATCATGGTGGTATTCATTAACCAAGAATATCTAGAGTACAGCAGGAGTTTCTGATAGAAATTCGTTGTGTAACCTTCGTGGAAAACGTCTCATCATTTTTGTGACTGGTGTAACTCCACAATCTCACTGAAGCTATTTAGAAAAATAGTATGCTTTCGGAATGGCTAAATTTCCAGTGACTTTCACAGTTACCTTGGTGTGTCAACAAATGTTCACCGACTCGGATTAATGCTGACTTGCTTTGACTATGTTTCCTGTATTGGCGGAAACCAGCACAAATGCCTCGAGAACTAAGGTATTTACCCGAATTAACACAATTTTGCAATTTTCCCTTGGTTTTGGGTCTAAATGAGTTTGACAGCTCTGCTGTATGCGTTTGGATTGACTTTATTTGGCGAATTCTCCAGGCACACGCACACAGTAGGCATAAATAACGAACAGCCACCAGGTTTGCAGTATTTCAAAAACAGTGGATTTCCATTTACGCTTTTCAGTTTTTCCTTGTTTTTAGTCGGTGGTGGTTGTGATTTATCAGGGAGCTTCGGTGTGTATGAAGAGGTTAGCACACTTTCCTAGAACACGCCTTTACTCAGCTAAACACAAATGCCTGTCGGGAAGCACTATTGAAGGTTTTAGTTCAAGATCACATTCCGACTTGTTAAGACACGACTGTGCAATCTGTAGGTGATTTAAATCGCACTTTAATCACAAACTACTGTTATGACTCATGCAGTCTTTACGCAGAGCCCAAATTAAACACGTCTGGAAGCTTAAAACGTTGAAAAAAGAGAACCACAGTGCTACCGAAATCGTCGATTTGAAAGCTAGTTTTTTGGAGTTATACAACGTCAAAACCACTTACCACAATTTTTGGGACCCAAATCACCGAATATAAAGCAGACTAATTTGTTGTGTACACAAAGCCCAAGTAAACTGCAGAACCACTGAGTCTAAGCTGTGAATCACGCTTGCAGATTTGCCTTACCCCCAGGAACTGTAGTCAAGATCTTGGTTAGTCAAGGCGAATTTCGTCAAATTCACCCGTCCTTCTAACGTGGACCACTTTACAGAACACAACCGGATTCGTTGGCTTGACGACGACGACGACGCAGAAAACCCATTCTGTACCAATACGATTTCATAAGGGTCTAAAGTGGCGCAATTGGCGGCCTGATCTGTTTTTCACAATTAGACAAAATCGATTTCTGAAAGATTTGATCGTACCCTAAATACTTCAAGCCCTGATAAGGCAGCGTGTGTTCCACATATTACGAAGGTGGCAAAGTACAAGTTCCAAGCAATTACGTGGAGGGATGTTATAACAAATAACGTGATTACTTGAAGATAACTTGCTTTCCACATAAACCAAAATTTGGCCCTAATTAATAGATTGCCTTAGAAAGTCACTTGCATTTATCTATCGTGGATTCCATCATTTATTATTATGAAAATGTCACGTCAACTGATGGAAATATTAAGTCACAAGGCTCGCCAGAATACTGAAGTGAAAACACAGTTGAATATCGAAACTCCTCTGGATGCGTGATGGCAGTTATCGGACCTTGGATTTATGCGGCAGCGCAAAAAACTTGCTTTCTTAGTGATTTTAGATTGAGTGTACTTTGGGGACGAGTGGTGAGCTAGGCGTGGGCGAAGTCGACAAGATAAACCGGTTTGGCGGGTCTGTGCTTCAGCCAAACCTGGAGCACGGGACTCACCACTCATCGGTTAAGAGGTCGTGTCGTCGCTCTTCGAGTCGATCAATCGCAATGGTGTGACAAGTGTAGCTGTGGGGCAGATCGCTTGCTCCAGCTACCTGTGTGATGATGTTGCCACATACTTGCATTTTGAAAGGCATGACAGGCTACATTAGGTGTTACCTCAGACAGTTTTTAATAATAAAAAAATTAAATGAGCATTAGCACTTAATTAAACACCACAATTTACCATAACTGACAGCTATTGCGAAACAAGATACTAATTTACACATGAAAGGTCTCCTACGTAATGAAAAAAATAATATTTAAGGCCCCCATTAGCTACGTAGAGCTAAGATCTAACGGGCATAATCACGAAAGGCACGACAACAGTTCCCTTTTAATTTATTGTCACAAGTAGAGCCTTTAAACAGTCAATATTTGGGGTGTCCTATAGTTTACTGGTGTCAAAACACTGCAAATGTATCCTCATTACCTCGTAAAACTAATTAATATCCGAATCTACAAATTAAAATTAAGTGTTTCTTTACAATTCAACAGTTCTGAAATTTTCAGTCAGCACAATTGGCTTTTCTGGTGTTTTGGTAAGTGCGATATTCATCTTTTGCATTAATTTTTAACTACATTGTATATGACCGCGTGACTTAGTTTTGAATTATTTCGTTAATGTCAAAGGTAGCTCAAATCTTGAAGCGGGTCTTGTCGTGATTAGTAAAAAGAACAACGTCTTTCATAACCACATCGGTGGGATAACATTAGTGAAATACAATATGAGCCTATTACAACAAGCCAGGTCTGTGTGAGTCACTTTGGGCTTCTCAGATTAGTTACCACTTAGAATTTGGCTTGTTAGTATATAAAGTGTAGTTTCATGGGAAATAAACGAGAAAGTTAATGCATGATGGCAATTGCGCCTCCTAGTCATTTTGGGGGTTTACACTGTGTCAGGATCCAGTTTAATAAACAGCTGCACAATCTAATTTGGGTTTAATCTACTTCACGGTCTCATGGGGCATGCAAATACTTGTTGTGTTTCATCGTAAAGGCTATACTGTCAGTCAAGTACACCGTTTTTTCGCACAACATAAATCTCACTTCCGAGTAAATTTTGGTTTGCGATTAGTTTTCTTTTTCAAGTCAACATAAGCTGGATTAAGCAAATATCCGGCCAGAAAATATCTACCAACTTTAATTACGCATTCGTTGACTCCGCCAAGTTGTTTTTAAATCACTTTCCCTAAGTGAAAGCGGGTTTTTGGTGAGGAGACAAGTGCCAATTTCAAATCGTCTGTAAATACTGAACACACCGATGGAGACAAAGTCCAGTGGTGGATTGGACGATATCAGAATTCCCTGATGAGTCATGGATGAGTCTGCTGCGTGATATCACTTTCGAATGATTTGATTCTAGCCTTTGGCAGCAACTTACTAAACGTATTTACTGTTAATATTTCCTAAGAGCACTCTAGCGTTTTTCGTTATTTTGGTGAATCAGGATAGCCATACCGGTTTCAGGGCATTGAACTATGC